GGATCGTTTAGAAAACTTCAATCCTCTATATATTGTCAAGTCTTTCTAGAATGTTCCAGAACTTCATGGAACTTTCCATAAATTTTTGGAATTTTACGGAAAATTCGAGAATCTCACTCTATACATATAATTCGAAATGTGCGTTTCTCCCAAAAATCATTGAAGGTTCTAGAAAATTGTATAACAGTACAGAACGGTACAGAATCTTCTACAAAATTCCAGAAACAGCTGAAGAACTCCAATTTTTAGAATGCAATGTTAAATTTCTCTGGAATATGCCATGAAATTCTAGCATTTTCTAGTACCTTCCAGGATGTTCCAAATAATTCCAGACCTCGCTGTGAGGCAAGGTAAGACACCACTAGTTGATTAAATATTCGTAATTCCGTTAGAATGCACTTCAAATATATTCTGATAGCTTGAAATAATGTGTGTGCACAATAAGTTTCCATTGGCAGCCGAAAAAACTGATAGTATGTCTTAAAATTTGAATATTTTGTAAAGTATCGAACTAGCATGTGATATCCATTCATAACCGACATCAATTAAAGAAGGACCTTATAATATAAAAAAGAGAAAGACCAAACTTTCGACTTTTTATCTAATGCATAAGCACATTTTTGTGCAATCAAATGATGTTATGTTACAATCCCCGTCATTGCGCTCTTCGTAGTCCAGCAAGATGCTCAACGCAAACCGTTCAGGCGTCACTTGCGACAGGCTCTATGCTTATTCAAGGCCCAGTTGAGCACCTTTCGAGATCCATTTTAGATCCACGCGCTCAAGCTCGGACTCGTACGTAATTCGCTCGAGCATCGCTCGAACGCCGCTCAATAGTAGACCGAGGCTCCTCCAAACTTCGTTCGATACACATCGATCAACTATACGAACGTTCCATAGAAACCAACGAGCTCTCATGCTCGATCGATATTAACTCGGTCAGTTTGATGTTTACTTTACCGACGTTCGGGCGCATTCGAGTGACGCTTGGCAACGCCGCCTGCGCGCGAACGTTTCGACGCGTGGTGTTTTCGTTATTGTGAGACCGTGTAGATATGGATGAGAAGAAGGTGCCAATCCTTATTGAAGAAGTCCAACGCAGACCGGCTATTTGGGATAAGACATTGACGCAACACAGCAACAAAAACTTTATTGGAAGTGAATGGAACACTATTGCTGCCAATATCAACGTTTCGAGTAAGTATTGCCTCTTTAACTTGTCAATCGTAAACCCATCCTCCTTTACTTTACAAGTTTTTCGCCGGCATATCTGATGTATTTTCTATTCCATTTTCTATTAGGTATTTATTGAACTTTAAGTAGTGGATTAAAACTTGATTCCTTTCGCATTATATAGCAATGAATATTCACATTTTTAAGTGCGTTACACCTATCAATTGATTGATATCCTGAGGATGTCTTATCCGTTCTTTCTTCTTACGCACGTAAACAAAGGAAGTGTGTTCTCCTAGCCTCACTTTTAGGATAAAGAACATACGTGGGAAGACGTATATTTCAGTATTGTTAAATATAATTGTTTCAATAAATAATTAACCATCACCACAGGACGTCTTTTAACATTACATCAAGATATTTATTGCAACATAAACATTATGTACAACGATATTTATGTAGCAACCAGTAAAAGACGAGTCGACAACTTCATCCAGATTATCCTTTCGAATACCCTTGAACCTTGGGATTTAGAGGAACATGTCATAGGACATTTTTTGAAGATAGTTATGTGGAGAACAAAAAGGTCTTCTGTCATTTATCTTTAAAGTTGACAGTTAAGGAGATGTTCGGAGATTAACCTACGATTTCCAACTCATCCTCTTCTTTCACTAACTCACTCATTTCTCATTGAAAAAATTCCTAGTTCGGACACCTACTGTTAGGAATAATCGTCTTTGCACAGCTGATTGGGTGAAAATAATTATCAAATTCATTACGATTACTTACACAGCCTATTGCCTTCAAACGAAATCGGAAGTACTGCATTTATTTCTATAATAATTATTCAAATTACGATACGAAACTAAAATTTATCTTAAAATATGGAAAATATTACCTAAAATTCGTAGAGTTTATACAAACTTGAGAGAATCATGTTTTTCAGTCAATCGCTACAAGTTTGGCATATTATTCTAAGTTATTCTTTCCTATTTCAGAGACACAGGCACAGAATAAGTGGAAAGCTTTGAAGAAGAAATTCTCAACCGAACATTCTCGCGTTCAACTCCATCAGGTGATGGTCTCGATGATTATCTAGATTTTTTCAAATTATGCATTCTGGATTACTTTACACGATTAATTTTGAATCACTTTTTCAAATAGTCTATTTCGTTATTATAGGTATCTTTTCAAGGAATTGGTACATCATGTTTGCTAAAAAAAAAACACGCATTTTGCATACTCATGAAGCAAACAGAAGTCGTACTGTCCACGGTCAATACCACACCTTATTTCCACGACTCAAGAATGATCCTGAAAAATTTAGATCGTATATGAGGATGGGGGTTTCAACATTTGAATACATTCTCAGCAAAATTAATCATTTGCTCATTAAAAATTGGTGTAATTTACATGTACAACCAATTCTACCAGAAGAACGTTTAGTTTTGACGCTCAGGTAATTATTTTTATATATTAATCTGTTCATGTGCAGCACTTTTATCGATAGTACAATTAATCTTTCGTCTCATTTTTATTACATTTCTGATCAATCTAGATTTCTGGCGACAGGGAACACTTACACGGATTTGGCATTTTCCTTTAAAATGGGGATTAAAACAGTCGCATGCATCGTACCAGAGACAATGACTGCGATATGGGAAACGCTTACCCTACTACATATGGCCGTACCATCCGTCGACGATTTTATTAGAATATCGAAGGAGTTTAAAACAAAATGGAATTTTCCACATTGCATCGGAGCTATCGATGGACGCCACGTTCCTATAAAAAAACCGAATAATTCGGGGAGTCTGTATTTTAATTATAAAGGCTATTACTCCATAGTATTACAAGCTGCTGTTGACGCTAATTATCGGTATATCTGTATACAGGGTGTCCCAGAAGTACATGCTAATCATTTGCTAGCATGTACAGGGGGTGAGTCTGAGCCGAAAAGTCCTTTTCCACTTTTGCATCAAAAGCACCCCCCCTCAGATATTGGGGTAAACAGGAGAGCCAATGACGCTGCAGCATTAAACGGCAGTACGTCCGTGTGGCTCCGACACATGCATGAGCGACGCCCCTTCCAGGCAGCGGGCTATGTGTGCGGACCCACACGAACGTACTGCCGTTTAAGGCTGCCGCGTCATTGGCTCTCCTATTTATCCCAATATCTCCGGGGGGTCGCTTTTGATGCAAAAGTGGAAAAGGACTTTTCGGCTCAGAATCACCCCCTGTACATGCTGGTAAAGGATTAGCATGTACTTCCGGGACACCCTGTAGATGTAGGCGGATATGGTAGTCAGCACGATGCGGCTACTTTCAGAGCGTCTCAATTATATAGAGCATTAATGTTAAAGAAACTAAATCTACCTAATGCTAGTAGAATAGAAAATTCAGACCTTTGTATGCCCTATTTTTTAATTGGTGACGGAGCTTATCCTTTATCCAACATATTGATGAAACCGTATCGAGGTATTAATTTATCACATCAACAAAAAATATTTAACAACTCGCTATCAAAAGCTCGCGTTGTCGTAGAAAATGCATTTGGTCAAAGTAGCCAGAAATGGCGGATACTATCCACTAATATCGAAAAAAGCCCAGAAATAATCAATTTAATAATTAAATGTACATGCTTATTACATAACATTATTATAAATTTAGAGAGCGAGTCGCATGTCCACAATAACATTGTAGAACAACCAATTGATGATACTATTGATAATGATGATGTACAAATGATTGCTGTGACGGGTGAGGATATACGTGACGAGCTTGCAGCTCTTTTTATGCAAAATCATTCGTGTCACCATTGCTCTTAACGTCAAGTACTGAACGATTAGGTCTTTAGAGTATAAGATTTCTACGTTGTTAAATTGTTTTCAAGATGAATAAAAAAAAAACATTAAAATTATAAATTTTTGAATTTTGAGTACAAAGAGAAACATTCGAATTAGGAGAAAAGCCTCATTTCTCAGCAGATAAACTCCTTGGAGATTTGGATTGGAGAATTGGCTAAATAAGACTTCTGAACTGCAGGCAACTAGATCAGCGACCTCAGATTTCCAATAACATTTTAACACAACTAAAAGAAGTCAACACAAATTTTCGAGGGAAATTGTTGCCCAGACGAGATTTGCTGATTTATGCAAAGGAAGGGTGAGGAGGCTAGTGGAAAGCTGAAGAGTTCACTAATGCTGTGAAGGAGTTTCATTCAATTGTCCAACAGGCCACTGAGCAGTATGGAAATTCAGAGACCGATTTTGTTCAATTTGAAGTTGAAGAGGAGGAGATTCTCGGCGAAAAAGGTAGGAATAATTAGGAGTTGTGTATAGAATTGGAGAAGGCCAATCAACTGTTGGCAAGCTTGGAGCAGGAGAGACTGGACCAGACTGTTGAGCACCTAGCACCAACAGCAGCCATCACCAGTAAAATTCACACCAAAGGTCTCAGTCTAACGCAAATCTACACAAAACTCGTTGAAACTGTCAACGGACTGACTGTCCAAAAGGAGGGGAATGACAATCAAAAACCGCAAATGGACGGGTTGTTTGGAAAGAACTAAAAGACAAAGCCTCCGCACTCCAACGTCAAAGGATTGAGTATGAGGCACCAATTGCCAATGTGGAAACCCAACTTCAAATCAACAGAACCTACTTTCAACTGAGAACAATCGTCTCCAGTAAACTGCTGATGAAGCAACAACATTATTAAATCATCAAAATCGTGATAACCAACGACAAAAGACAGAGCTCTCTGACCTAGCTCGTCAAGTCTGTTTCCTCCTCAAAGAAGTCCAAGAAAGTGAAACTGTGATGAAGACTATAGATCTTGCATCTTCCTAATTGATTAGCAAGAAACTTGTAACATTCCGAGACACTGAAGAACTCGAAGAGAATAATCAAAAACTCTTGTGAATTGTTAGGACATTGTCTTATTTTTGGTTTCCGAATGGAAGCATTGCAATCGGTGAATTTTCAGAATCTCTAATTTTGAGTGGAAACGATAGAGAGTGGTTTGAAACTTGAAAATACAAAATTTGAGCACGGCGTCTGTGGGTGCGCATGGTCAGCTAGTGTCAGTTTTTTGAAAATTGAAAGAAAAACGGAGTAGACTTATTCGAAAAAATTTGAAAGTCCGAAATGTTATAGGTATTAATGATGACTAAGTCTGTGCCAAATTCTTTCTTGGCAAATACTCGTCTTGATGCCCTCTATCGATATCATTCAAGACATATATACCCTCCAATTCAAAGTTTTGGAAATATTTGTCTTTTTGTGTTTTTTGTGACGAATAATTGTTCGCACGCTAGCGTCTTTGAAAAACAGTGAATCGACTTGACATTGGGCACAAAGTGTCCTCTCAGTAGTGAGATGATCGAGTTCGAAGATGAGCTCAATCGGACCGGTAGTTTCTGAGATATTCATGATTATATCGAAATTTATTTTATTGAATATCTCAGAAACAAATGAAGCAATTTCAATTGTCTTTTTTACTGAATTAAGTGTCAATTTTATTGATTAGATAAAAATACAAAAGGATTAATATTAAATTTTCAAGATAAATGGGTATTTGTATTAGCTCAATTCGCTACAATCTCCTTGAACCCATTGTCAACGTTTTTTTATTTATCAAAAACAAAGAGTTTCGGCTGAAAATGAAGAAATAAAACCATGTCAAGGTGCGATGATCTCTCGATTGATTTGAAACAGCGTAAAAAAACAATTATCAGAGTGAAAAGTTCATTACATTTGGGGAAAAATAATGACAAAAATGCCACGAAAAATCGGCAAAGTGGTCTCCAAATTTATACTCATACTCTGACAATTTTGTCATTTTCAATATTTTGCGATTAATTTTAACTTTGTAATTCTATAAAAAAGGTCTGCTGACACTTTACTCGAAATCCAATGGCTCTGAAAACATTTAGAAAGATAAAGAAGATAAAGAATTATAGTGAATTATGGTTAGAATCTATGGCCTTGGGTGCAATGTGACCAGGTGCCCTGGAACTTTACAAGTCATCAGGATTGTTCCTGACATGCTTTGGGAGTTCTTTGGGATCAGCAATTGTAGCATCAGCAGGCGACGACATAATAGACTGGGCAATGGACTGGGTGACCGTCTTGTCAGCGTTGGTAGTCTGAGGATGAACTCCAGTAGACATCATTGTTGTTCCATCTGCACAATGATTCTCACTGCCTGGTTGAAGTTCGCCCTGTGTTCCAATAGGGAATCTTCGAGAGCTGTCATCATTTGTCGAGCTGGTTCCTACAGGTCCCATGCCAATATGCATGGCATGATGTACGTTCGGTGGATAAGGGATGCTTGTAAGAGGTTGCCTTGGGAGAAATGTTTGACCATAGACATCTTGTCCATAATATTGTGGTGGAACCTGGTGTCCATAGTACAGAGGTGGACGGGGATCAAACGCCCATGGATTGTATCCAGGTCTCTGCATCCTCGCATCTGAAAAAAAATATGCAATTCAACTGTTATTTGTCCTCGAAGCTCATTAATTTTTTGTACCTCGTGTATAGCAGAATTTCTATACACACTCAACCCGATAATTATAAAATTCTACGGAATATTTACCACTACAGTTACGTTCAATAATACGTTCCTCTGCAGATGGCTTATACTTCTTTTCCACCTTGACTGGTAAAGTGATTTGAGGCTTAAGACATTTTACGAACTGGACATCTAGAAAAAAATTTATATAATGGTAAATACAATTACAATTTTCATAATTTATCGATGAAGTTACTCTTTACCATCATCATCGTCATCATCATCAGTATAATGATTAGGCAATCTTCTTTTTCTAAGGCGTACTCCAGAATTTGGCTGAGGCGTATTACTGGAGTCATTCATCGATTTCCAGGGCATGCCTTTATAGGCATAACTGAAAACCGTGCGAGATAAGTCGGCATGGCAAAGCAAAATTTCTTCTTTGGTGACTTCTCGCAATGTTGGCAGCAACGTTTGCAGAAAGGCCATGTTCTGCTTGTCCAGCTCATCGTTAGTATCCCGTTGCGAGATATTGCACATCGACTCCTCCAGAAGCTGCAATTTTTGCCTTTCTTTGATTGCCAACAAACGCTCCTTGTCTTTTTGATCCATCACGAAGCTTACTGTATTGCTGTTCAAAGAAGTACTTTCCACAGATTCCTCTTTTGGTTTTTGTGTTACCAGTGGCTTTGCGTCGAAAAGACAATCCAAACTACCTTTTGATGATGCAGGTACAGCACGATTGGCTAGGAAACTCATGGATATGTAATAAGGCCAGGTGGATTGGTATGCGTCCTCAAGACCATCACCTGATCGATGGAGTTGAACGCGAGAATGTTCGGTTGAGAATTTCTTCATCAAAGCTTTCCACTTATTCTGTGCCTGTGTCTCTGAAATAGGAAAGAATAACTTAGAATAATATGCCAAACTTGTAGCGATTGACTGAAAAACATGATTCTCTCAAGTTTGTATAAACTCTACGAATTTTAGGTAACATTTTCCATATTTTAAGATAAATTTTAGTTTCGTATCGTGATTTGAATAATTATTATAGACATAAATGCAGTACTTCCGATTTCGTTTGAAGGTAATAGGCTGTGTAAGTAATCGTAATGAATTTGATAATTATTTTCACCCAATCAGCTGTGCAAAGACGATTATTCCTAACAGTAGTTGTCCGAACTAGGAATTTTTTCAATGAGAAATGAGTGAGTTAGTGAAAGAAGAGGATGAATTGGAAATCGTAGATTAATCTCCGAACATCTCCTTAACTGTCAACTTTAAAAATGACAGAAGACCTTTTTTGTTCTCCACATAACTATCTTCAAAAAATGTCCTATGACATGTTCCTCTAAATCCCAAGGTTCAAGGGTATTCGAAAGGATAATCTGGATGAAGTTGTCGACTCGTCTTTTACTGGTTGCTACATAAATATCGTTGTACATAATGTTTATGTTGCAATAAATATCTTGATGTAATGTTAAAAGACGTCCTGTGGTGATGGTTAATTATTTATTGAAACAATTATATTTAACAATACTGAAATATACGTCTTCCCACGTATGTTCTTTATCCTAAAAGTGAGGCTAGGAGAACACACTTCCTTTGCTTACGTGCGTAAGAAGAAAGAACGGATAAGACATCCTCAGGATATCAATCAATTGATAGGTGCAACGCACTTAAAAATGTGAATATTCATTGCTATATAATGCGAAAGGAATCAAGTTTTAATCCACTACTTAAAGTTCAATAAATACCTAATAGAAAATGGAATAGAAAATACATCAGATATGCCGGCGAAAAACTTGTAAAGTAAAGGAGGATGGGTTTACGATTGACAAGTTAAAGAGGCAATACTTACTCGAAACGTTGATATTGGCAGCAATAGTGTTCCATTCACTTCCAATAAAGTTTTTGTTGCTGTGTTGCGTCAATGTCTTATCCCAAATAGCCGGTCCGCGTTGGACTTCTTCAATAAGGATTGGCACCTTCTTCTCATCCATATCTACACGGTCTCACAATAACGAAAACACCACGCGTCGAAACGTTCGCGCGCAGGCGGCGTTGCCAAGCGTCACTCGAATGCGCCCGAACGTCGGTAAAGTAAACATCAAACTGACCGAGTTAATATCGATCGAGCATGAGAGCTCGTTGGTTTCTATGGAACGTTCGTATAGTTGATCGATGTGTATCGAACGAAGTTTGGAGGAGCCTCGCTCTACTATCGAGCGGCGTTCGAGCGATGCTCGAGCGAATTACGTACGAGTCCGAGCTTGAGCGCGTGGATCTAAAATGGATCTCGAAAGGTGCTCAACTGGGCCTTGAATAAGCATAGAGCCTGTCGCAAGTGACGCCTGAACGGTTTGCGTTGAGCATCTTGCTGGACTGCGAAGAGCGCAATGACGGGGATTGTAACATCATTTGATTGCACAAAAATGTGCTTATGCATTAGATAAAAAGTCGAAAGTTTGGTCTTTCTCTTTTTTATATTATAAGGTCCTTCTTTA